GCACCTTACAAACATGAATGAACTTGTGTCATCCTCACAGCCACCCAGCGAGGGACTGCATGTAATGTCCCCCATTTTCCAGGTGAGGAAATAGGCTCGGAGCGCCTAATGACTCTCCCAAGGCCACACCACTGTCAGGTAGCAGAGCTGGGGTCTGAACCTGGGCATCTGGCCCCAGCCCGCCTTTGCTTGGTCCAGAGGAAGCTGGCGTCCCACTGAGTCAGCACGGTCCTGGCTTGGTGGAAGGTCACCAAAGGGCAGGATGGTATCTTGGGAGGTGCTGTGTGCCAGACCCACGGTGTCGGGCATGTGGTACACAGGGAGTCTGCCGTCAGCACGCTCCTTGTCTGATCTGGGGCACGAGTGGGGCTGGGAGATCAGGATGGTGCGAGGTGGGGTAGGGGAGAGGGCCTCCCAGGGAAAAGGCCTGGAGGGGGGCCCCATCAAGCTAGTTCTGGAGGAGCAGGGGCCCCACCCACCTTGGCCACCCTTTGCCTCCCATTCTGCTCTAGGATTTCCAAACTTCCTGTACCTCCCGCAGCACAGGGCCCACTGCACACCACCGTGAGGTGACAGCCGGTGGGGTGGGGACCAGGACCCACAGACAGGGAGGAGCAAGTTGGTCATTTTTCTGCCCTGCCTTCCGTGTGTTCCTGAAGGACTCGAGGCAGCTTAGTGGTGTTTACAGGAGGCTAGCTGGCATCCGGAGGTGGGAAGATTGCAGCGGGAGAGCGCTGGCGTCCTGAGGCCTGCTGGGAGGCCGTGGGAGGAACCCAGGCTGCCCTGGAGTAGGGAGCCAGCCCTGGGGACGCCTCCAGGAGGGACCATGGGACAAGCTGCGTTTCCAAAGAAGATCCCATCCTGCCATTCACCACCTGAAGACAGAAACAGGTTCTTTGCCACTGAATCACCGTGAAGCCCTCCCAAGCTGACCGGGGCTCCCACGGCCTCCTCTCCGGAAGACTCTGCTAGCTGGGCTCAGAGGCGTCTTCTGATAAATGAGCCTCCAAAGTCAGTGTCCTAGGCTTGCCGCCAGCCCAGGGCAGCCGAGGAGGTGTGCCATGGCTCCCTGGCTCTCCTCTGAACCCAAACAAAGGGCAGCTGGCTTGTGCAGGGCAGGCAGAGAGGGTAGGGAGTGGGGGGAGAGGGCAGGCCCCCCCGGCAGGCTCAGCTGGAAAAGGTCAGGACCCCACAGCCGGCAAGAGGGGTGGGAGGGGGAGTGTGCCAGACGCAGGGGCCGGGCCAGCCAACACCAGAGGCCTGCTCTGCAGCTGCAGCCTGGCCACCAACCCCAGGAATCTGGCAGCCCCAGTGGGGAGGCCACCCCTGACCTGGGAAGAGGACACAGGTCACTTGGGTTTCATTCCTTGCCATCTCCCTCACGGCTACGAAATGTGTCATCATCCCAGGGCCTGGCAGTCCTAGGCTCCCACACATGGGGAGTGGGGTGAGAGCAGGGGTGCTCCTCCAGGGACCCCGGGCCATCTGCATGTGGCCCACCACCCACGTGAGCAGGCCAGAGAGGTCTTCACACCCCCCAGAAAGAGATGCGGGGGACTCCACCCCAGCCCCCAGGCATCCAGCTCCGTGTGGCTGGGCAAGGGAATGGCATGGGGTTAGGAGCCCACCCCCCTTGACCCCCAGACTGAGAACATGACCCAAGGCTTGGTGCTGCCCCTGGCTCCCCAAGAGCAATAATAACAGGGACACATTGGTGAAGCCCTCCCTGTGCACTGGCTCTGCTCTGAGCCCTGTCTATGCCATCATGACAAAGGTCAGCACTACGGACCCCACTGACAGATGAGGAGGCTGAGGCTGCGTCCTCTGGCTCCTGTTTCTGTAGCAAGGTGGTGTTCAGGTTGGCCTGTGCCATTTTTCGTCCTTTGAGGGGCTCTGAGACTCCCCTCTCACTGCTGTCCACCTCTCCATTTTCTGCTTGGTTAGTGGTTCCTAATGATACATGTATTCATTCACCCTGGAGTTCAGCACTGGGGCCAAGTCCAGAGGCAGGCGAGGCAGGGTGCCAAACCTGCCCACCTCAAACACCGCCGTGTGCCTTTCTTTTCTGTCTGTACCTGCACCTGGGAACAGGCGGGCATCGAGCATGTATCCCGTGGCCTGCTTGTAAGAGTCTGTTGTCTGGGAGGTTGTATTTCCAGTCTGTGCTCTCGGGGTGGGAACGGCTCTTCCTAGGAAAGGGATTTGGAGCTAGGAGGACAGGATTTGGGAGACAGCAGGCTGGCCCTGGCAGAGCTCCACCAGCCCTCATAGGTCCTTCGTGTGTGTTGGAAGGAGCCTTTTCCGGGCAGCCATAACCCATCCCCAGGTGTGTGTTGATGAGCAGAGGGAGGGCTGGGTCTCAACTCCCATTTGCCATTTCATCCAGATGCTCTTGTGCAGTGAACCACTTGGACTGCTGTATTTAGCCACCCTGCTCCCAGGGCTTTTGTTGGCTCCCATTATCACTAGCCCAGTTGGCTGCTGAGGCTCAGAGCACATACCCCATACTACCCAGCTGCCCCTTCACCCTGGGGAGACCAGGGTGCTCATTTCCACTGCCCTCTTGTTCTTTTACCCAGGTGCTTACTGGGGCTCGGCTAACTCGCGCCTGGGGGTGGCTTGGAGCCAGATGATAAGAGGTCATTTAGCCTGGTGTGCCCACTGTACGGATGAGAACACTGAGGCCCTGTGCGTAAGTGTGGCCTTGGGTGAGTCATTGTTAAGACTGTTTCTTGTCCCCAGCAGCTTTCTCCTTCGTCAAAAACACTTGCTATATACAGGGCCGCCCTTACAGGTGAGGGCACTTCCCCACGCTCACACAGTGGCGTTAACAGCTCACCTGAGTGCCTGTGACTGACATGAGGCTTAGCCACTGTCTTCCAATAGTTCCCACCAGGCAGCAGACCCCACAGTTCCCTATGACCCTGGTCTCGTCCCTGTGGGATGAAGTGGGGGGAGCCTCTAGGAGCCCCCACAGGACACACCTTTACCCAGTTCCTGGCCTCTGGCCTCCTGTCCCCGTGCCTGCTCTGCACCTGATAAGCGAGGCCCCACCGCTCCAGGAGAAACCAGCTGTACCTCACGCCCCCGAGCCACGTCCCCGGACCAGACAGTTCTCTGAGCCAATCTAGTCTGAAATACCAAGAATGTTCAAGGTCAGACACACTGGCCCGTGGACAGTGTGTGTCCCTAATCCTTAGAACAGCTGTTCTCAGCTCTGGCTGCACATTGGAACCACCTGAATTCTAGATTTACTGATGCTTCCTATCCCCAGAGATCCTGATATGACTGGTGAGGGCTGGGGCTCCAGCCTGGTATTTTTAAAGCTCCCCGGGTGGTTGGCATGTCCAGCAGTGGTGAGAACCATCCTCACACCAATGCCCATGCCTATGGGAGAAACACGGGACTATTTGGATCTGAAACCTAGTTGTTTGCTAATCTGCAGAACAATGGGAAGAAACCCCTTAATAAAAATGCAGCGTAAAGCCTAACACTTTGTTTCAAAAAGCAAAATGATAATCAGAAGATGGGGGACTTGACTTGGTAGGACTTGGGGTACAGGAGGCCTCGACTGCTACGGGTGGGGCAGGGCCAGCAGTGAGCTCTCCTAATGCCTGTTGGGAGGTATTAAGCGATGGGAGGATGGTGGATACATGGGCAGTCCTGGTCCTGTGGGCCTGAACTTTATTCAGGAAACCAAGGAACATTCCAGAACCCAGGACTGTGATGAGGACTGAGCTGAAGAAACCAGGGGAGAGTCTGCTAGAACAGAGCAGACGGGGAGCTGTGAAAGCCGTCTGCAAATATCTGAGGTCTGGTGACACGGCGAGGGCTTGCCCACGGGGTACAAGTTGCGTGATTTCAGCTATCTCCAGGAAGCAGTTCTAAGGGAGCAGCCCCAGCCCGGCGCCAGCCCCCTGGGAGGGCGGAGCCGGAAGGAGGCCCAGCTGTTCCCTGGGCAAGTGCCTGGGGCGCGTGCTGAGCTGGGGTTCCTTAGATAGTGTTTCTAAGGGCATTTGCCTGAGCGTGGGCCTAGCTTAGCCAGACAGCCGAGGCTGGAGGATTCCTTGTGGGGAGCCGCCCTGTGCTTTTCAGGATGTGGAGCAGCATTTCTGGCTGCCACCCACTAGATGCTAGTAGCACTCCCCCCACCCTGCATTGTGACATCAAAAATGTCCTCAGACATTGCCAAATCCCCTGGGGGGCAAATATCACCCCCTGCCCCACTGAGAACCGGCCCTGGAACAATGGCTCTCCACGCGGGCTGCACACAGGAATCCCCGTGGGTGCTTTAGCCAGTACTGACGTTGGGTCCACGCCCGGAGGTGTGATATCAGTGGTGTAGGGATGGCCCCACAACGTGTGTGTGTGTAAATTGCATCATGTGGTTCTAATAAAGAGCAACGTTTGAGACCCCCTGGGGGAGACTTTCTCAAACTTGAGTCACCATCAGAATCACCTAGCTGGTGGCTCCAACTAACTCCCCAATTTAATTAGAATCACCTGGAATTCTCAGGCTCAGGCAAGTGTGGGAAACACAGCCCTGAGTGTCCATGAGCCCCTTGCGGCCTGAGGCTCCGGGATTCTGAGCTGAAAGCCCAGCTAGCTAGCCTCGCCGGGACCCCCTGTGCCTGCCCCTGGGTTTCCTCCTGGCCAGCATCCCTCCCTGTTCCCCTCTTCCATCCCAAGGTCTGCCCGACCCCCCTTACCTCCGCCATCTCCTCCCCCGCGACTTTATCCCAGCCCCCCGCCCCTCCACCAGCTCCGGGGAGCCCGCCTGCAGCCCGGCCCCTCCTCCTTCCTCTCTTCCCAGCCGGTGGCTCTCCGCGCCGGCTTGATTTAGTGGGCGTTGGAGGAGAAAGGCAGCTTGAGAGTCACGGAGAGCCTCTGTGCTCGCCAGCACTTATCTGGGAAGGAGAGGCCAGCAGCCCCGGGGAGGGAGCTGGGCTGTAAGGAACACACCTCTCTGCCCCGGAGGGGCTTGGCAAGCCCGCCATCATCACAGCGCTCTGCAGGTTGGCACCACAGACTACAAGCGCCCCCTGCCCCCAGCGCACGGCGTGGAGGCTGCCCCTTTCTGCCAGCCCCACTGCGGTGGAGGGGGAGGTTAGGGGAGGAGGCAGAGGCCGTAGCCGTGGCTCCTGCGGGCGGCGGTCAGCCCCGTGCAGCCCTAAGCCGCAGAGCCCAGAGACCCCTGGTTTAGGAGAGATGTCAGGGGCAGTAGAGGTATCCTGTGGTTGCTAGCGGATCAGTGGGGGCCAGCGAGGGCCCCCCACTCCTAAGCGTTTGGTTGTTTGCCTGCCCTCCCCTTCTGGTGCCTGTCCGCCCCCCTCCCCCCTCCTCTCTGATGAAAAATACAAAAGAAAAATGCGCCGGTGCCCAGGTCTGGGAACCCCAGCCCGCGGGATGGTGAAATGAAAAGCGGCCCCAATTAGAGGCTTTGGTTCTGCGAACTTGATGCTCGGCACTTGAACTGTCACGGCGGAGCCTTAATTAGCAGCGGCGGGGGAGAGGTCAGGAACAACTCAGCAGTCTTGACAAGCGCGTTATCAAGTGCAGGGGAGCGGGCGGGGCCGCCGGGGAGGGGAGGAGGGCGAAGGGGCGCCGCGGCGCGGGAGGCGGCGGGGAGGCGGCCGCCCCAGCCCCGCGGGAAGGGAATAAAATGGTCGCTGCGCGGCGGCCGCGCAGCTCCGGTTGGTGGTGCGGGAAGCCTCCGGCGAGGGCGCGCGGGCAGCGCGGGGCGGCGTGAGAGGCCGCTCGCTCGGCCCCCAGGCGCCCGGACCCTCCCCCCGGCGCCTCCCCCGGTCACTGCAGCGGGCAGGCGGGGGCGCAGCGGGCAGGGCGCACGGAGCGCGACGCCAGGACTCCCCGGGTGCTCCGGACCTGCCGGGAGTCCCGGGGCTCCTCCCCCTCGGGGGTCATTCCCGGCTGCCCCGCGGCCCGGTCAGCCGTCCCTGGCACCTCCCTGGGTCCCCAACCCCCAGCACGCAGCGGGCCCGAGGGCGCGCTTGGACGCCTCCGCAGTGACCTCCGCACCCACGGCGCTGGCTATGCTGGGAAGCCCCTCCTAGAGCGCCCTGGGGCCCCGCCACCCGGCGGGGAGGCACAACATGCTCGGCATGAAGACCTGGTCGTCCCTGCTCCAGACCCTCAGTAAGTGCCGGGCTAGCTGCCCGCCCAGAGGGAGGGGGGAGGGGCCGGGGATGGAAGTTTCCAGAGCGCACCGCCCACCCCGCCTGGCCCTCTGACCCCAGATTACCTCCAGGTCATGCACATGCTCCCGCACCGCCTGTATCCTCGTCACCCTGTCAACTCAGAAGAGAAGGCCATCGATTTCTTTTTTAAGTAGAAAAGCTCCATCTGCCTGCCTGTCTGGCAGCTCCTGGGGCACGTCCAGGGCCTGGGGGGCGAGAACCGTGGAGAATCGCCTTCAGGTTTTGTCCAGGCGAGGGGCGTTCCAGCTTTGCTGCTGCACTCTCATGACTGGTGAGCAAGCTGGGCTAGGAGTGTTGGCCCTGGCTGGGCCTTCTGTGCCAGCAGGAAATCAGGGGACAGATCCAGGACCAAAAAATGGTGGGGAGCGCACTGCCCCCTCTTGTCTACAGGTGGGGAACAAGGGTGGGATGTGTGGGCTTAAACTGTGTTCACTGCGACTTGTCCCCTCTCCAAGCTGTGCTAGCATCTCCCTGGGTCCTTGGTGAGGGAGAACTTTCTACAGTGCTTTATGCGGGGACCTCGAGTTGCTGGTGCAGTAGCCAGGCAGGGGGGTAAGAAGCATCAGGGAGGTGCTGTGGACAGTACCCCCATCAGTCCCTGTTGGAGAGGGTTAAGCAGGACTCAGGCCCCGGGCACCCTGCAAGCCGAGGTGGAAGGTGGCATTAGGCAGGGCAGGTTCCCCAGATCCTCAGCTGGGAGAGAGAGAGCTTCCTTCCTGGTGGCTGGAGGGGGAGGAGGGTGGGACACTGGCAGCACAGCAGTTACCCCTCCCATTAAAGGTGGGACATCCCTGCCTCCAGGCATCTCTCCAGGGAAGAGAGCAGAGGCCCCCTCCCCAGCCCCACCATCCTCTTGCCCACGCCCACGGCTGGGTCTCCCGGGCCCTCCCCGCATCTCACCTTCCTGCCAGCCTGTGTCCCTCCATGTAAGCCTCTGCCTGTTTGAACTGTGGCTTTTAAAGCTTTTTGCCTTTGGAGAACTCAGGGGGGTAGAATCGCTTGTGGAGAGGTTGTGAACAGTTGATGATTATAGTCCAGCGGGTAGAAAGAGCTTAAAACAAATCCCCATCCATCAGATGTCGGCTTAGGCGGTTTCTGGAGCGCTCCTGGGGGTGCGGGGCGGGGTGGGGGTGGCAGCTCGGGAGGCAGGGGAGGCGCTTCTCCTTCCAGCAGCAGGAGCCTGCCACACCCCTCTCCTGCAGGTGCTCGGTGGTCACGCCCCTCTCCTAGGGCCCTGGTCACACTTCCTTCTGGGGCTGCCCTTCAGTTCAGAGGACCTTGCCACGTGGGGAGCTGGCAGCTCCAGAAGGCCCCTTGCCAGCGGTGTGCCCCTGGCCAGGCTACACGGCACCTCAGCACCTCAGTTTCCCAGCGTGTACAGGGAGGGCAGTCAAGGGGTGGCCGTGTTCTTGCGCTGCCGCAGGCTGAGGTCAGTCCCAGGCTTCCGCGACAGGTGAAGCTGCCTCCTTGGAGCTGTAAGGGCCACGCTTTGTCGCCGGTGAAGGGACCTGCATGAAGAAGAGCTGGATCCGCTGCCAGCCTCTGCAAGGAGCCCCTGCCGGGCAAGCCAGGGCTCACTCTGCTCAGGCACTGTCTCTTGCCTGTGGTCAAGCCTTAGGCCTCACGGCAGCCTCGGAAGTAACAGGTGCTGGCTGTGTTTGCAGGTGAGGGAACTGAGGCTCAGAGAGGTTGAGCTCACCCTCAGGTTCACACAGCTGGTGAGATGGCATTGGGAGAGGCAATGGGAGCCCAGGTGGTCCTGCTCCAGTGCCACATCCCTGGCCATGGCTGCTGGGTACCTCTTCCTCCAGCTCTAGAGAGGTCAGGTCACTCGACCCCATAGCAGTTTGGGCTAGCCCTTTGCTGCCTGCAGTGTGCAGCCATTGGGTGAGAAGTCAGAGTCCTCTGTGGCCTGCCCCCTGCCACCTGTTTCCATCCCAGCAGTCCAGACAGCCAAATCCCGTGTCTTGTCCTTATTCCTGTCTCTGTTCAGCGCCTGGGCCTCCGGGGAGGCACAGAGCATAACCACCAGGAGTGGGTTGGGGCAGCAGGTAATCTCCATGCCAGACTGATGAGAGGGGTGGGCTTTCCTTCTCAGAATAAAGGCATCTGTCCTGGTGGTAGCAGTGACTGCCTGTTGTTATTTTCCTCCCCCTTCTGGCTCCTTTCTGCCATGTCCCCATACCCGAGGCCTAGCTTAAAAGCCACCTCCTCCAGGAAGCCTTCCAGTTCCCACCCAGCCATATGTTATCTCACCTGCCCCTTCCTGTTCTCGTGGCCCTGTTTACTAGGTGGACTTCTAACCTTTGTACCTATTTTCTCTGTCCTGTTAGAAGTCATAAGGAAAGATCCTTTTCATTCTCACCCTGGAGTCTCCCAAGGTGCTGAGTACATGGTGGGTGCTTCGCAGATGCTTATCGGGTACATAGAGGGTATCTGTTTTTCTGGCCAGACCATCCGGTGTTTAGTCCCACTTCCTCCATGTTCACTGGGTGCTTGGCTCTGATGAATTTGGGAATATCATCTCAAGTTGATGTGGATCCTCTGGGGGTCTTCACAGGGTTTCCAAGCCCTGTGGGTGGTGAGGCCCAGCCCTGGAGGCTCTGTCCTTGGGGCCAGGAGGGCAGCCTCGCACCTGGACAGCCAGCCAGCTATGGGGAGGCCGCAGCAGGCACTCGGGGGACCATGTGATCGGCTATGGAAAGGATGTAGGGTGGATTGCCTCTAAAGCCAGGTCAGGCTTGGGGCTCGAGGTCAGGTCACACTGCTGGGACAGGGTGCTGCCACTGTGTGTTGGGTGAGGGGCTGGGGCAGCTGAGACCCAGCCTTGGTTGTGAGATTATTCCCAAAGCACAGTTCCAGGGAACCACCTGAAGGAGGCTCCTACCCTGAGAGTCTGTGGCCTCAGAGGAGGGCTGGGGTCGGGGTGGAGGTGGCATCATTTGTGTCTTTTGTCTTTCTGTAAGTGAACCAGGTTTGCAAATGCAATTTGCTCAATTAAAAAAAAAAGATAACCCTCTAGAGACCCTCAGCCAGAAAGGATGAGACAAATTAAGAAGTGGGACTGAGCAGGTGGTTTAATGGCCAGGTTCTGGGCTCCCCACGGTCTTCAGCAGCCAGGTGGGAATGTGGGGCCTTCGCTAGTTAGTGTGGGGCACCTGCGTCTCTGCTGTTGCCTGTCTGCCTGTTAGGAGCACCGGTCTGGAGTCAGATGGCCTGGGTTTGCATCCTGGACCTGCGTCTTACTGGCTGTGTGTCCTTGGGCAAGACACTCTCTCTGTGTCTCAGTTTCTTTGTCTATGAAAGGGCAAATAATAGCATCTGTCTTGTTGCAAGAAGCCATTTCTTGGTAACAAACCACCTCAACACAGTGGCTTAACACAATGACAAACACTTTTTGCCCACGAATCTCGGGAAGCAGTGAGCAGTTCCCACTCAGGGTCTCCTGTGGTCACAATCAGGTGGAGCTACTGGGCCCTCCCCTTGTCCCTCTCCCCTCCCCACCTTTCCTGACCAGGGTTGTTCATGCTGTTGCTTTGAGGCAGCCACTGAGCCCACCCAGGATCCTGGGGAGGGGATGGAAACCTCACCCCAGACGGAAAGAGGATCAAAAACTTGTGGGCGCATTTCAGAGCCCACACATACCTCCGAGGGGTGTTGGACTAAGTGGTTCATACAAGTAAACAGTGCTCAGAAGATGGCAAGTAGTTGGTAAACATTAGGTCTCAGAAATTCCTTGCATTTAAGGTGACGTGGGGCAGGGTGCATGGAGGAGAACAGTGGACTGGGGTCTGTAGAGGGCCTGGGGTCATAGGCCTGCCTGCTCCCGTGTTGGGGTTCCCTCTCTGCCCACCCCTTGTTTTTGGAGTGACCCTTGACCTTTACACCTGCTCTCCTCCTTTATGCCTGTGTATCTGGCCTCCTAAGCGCCATACCTGCTACGAAACCCTTGACAGAGGTCCTCGTGGCAGATAGCCTCTCATCTGTGGGGTTGCTGACGTGTTTGTGTTCAGGGGTCCTTGGAATGATGCGGGAGACACCCTGGAGGTGCAGGGAAGAATCTAGAAGCAGACATGTGGCCTTGGGCAAGCACTTCCCTTCTTGGGGCCTCTGCCTCCCTAACTCCAGGGCAGGGGCTGCACCAGCTTCCTAGGGCCTGTGTCCTGGGGTGCGCCAGTGCTGTGTGTGCCCTGCTCGTGCCTGGAGTTTTCCTTGGTGCATCCTCTTGGGGTGCTGCACTCATAACACTGATCCATACCTGGCAGAGGTGAGGTCCCTTGGGGGCAGAAAAGCAATTACGCTGCATCTGGGGAGCGGTGGGTCCGGGAGGGCCATGTGGGTGCCCCTGGGGAGGGGCCGTGCCCCGCAGGAGGTGGGTGAGCTGCCAGGGCCTGCGGCCATCAGGCCGCCTCAGGGGAGCCAGCCCCTGCCCCTCCAGCCACCTGAGTGGAGAAACCCCAGCGACCCAGTCAATGTTTCTTTTAATTAGAGACAATTAAATGGTGTAGCGGGTGGCAGCCTGGTAGCTTCTTCAGGAGGGAGCAGAGAGCCCAGACGGAACCGAAAAAAATAAAAAGATAAAATAAAACCCAGTGAATTTTTAATAGCGATTATCTTCTGACACATAGTGCGTTGCCATCTGGCAGGCGCACAGGCCCAGTGAAGCCTGATGCTGGCGGGTGGGGGCAGCTGCAGGGTTCCCGCCGCAGCCAGAGCAAGGCGCTCCCGCCGTGGATGCCCCCGTGGTGGGCTGGGGGCTCGGCCACGCTGGAGGTGCTAGCCTGCACCTTGGGCTTTCTTGGCCCGGCCCCCCCATTTCATAGGCCCCTGCATGGTAACACCACACCCCCCATCTGGTCTGCATGGAGAGGCTGGGCCTCTGGCCCAGCATTTCTGGCCGTAGCACTGCCCCAGGTCCGGTGCCTGCTGATGACATGGCTCTGCTAGTACCAGAGGCACGCAGGTGGCATCGTGAAGTCGACCCGCGTACCAGCCTCTCAGACTGCCCGTTCAGCCCTTCACTAAGCTTCCACTCGTGGCTGGACCCCAGGGTGGGCCTTGATGGCGCAGGGATGGAAAGTTTGTCCCCTGTGTCACTTAAGGTTGAGGGAGAAATCTTGGAGTGGTTACATCTTGGACACTATTGACGTTTGGGGTCCGTCGCTGCTTTGTCATGAGGA